TTTTTTTTTTTTTTTTTTTTTTTTTTTTTTTTGACAAAACCTTTAAAAAATGATAAAGTTGAGAATTATAGAGAGGAAATCGCACGAAATTTCAGTAAGATATAAGAAAGAATATAAAACATCAATTGATATTTCATAAGAATGTTGCAGAAAAAAGTTTGTTATTAAAAACTGGGAAGCTAATAACTGATGTCAAATCTGTTTTTCGTTTTGGCATATAACAGCTCTTATAGTTGTTCAGAAATATTAAATGGATGTAATAATCCGACTAAGCATCTAGCCAGCAAGTTGTTCAGGTGTAAAACTTATACTTTAAACCAAGAAAGTAGAATTGGCAAAAAATTTAGTTTTTTATGGTGCGGAATAGGTGGCAAGAATAAGCATTTGAAATGGAAAAACAAAAGAAAAAGGAGTATAAAAGAAAGGTTACTTGCGTTTGTTTGAAGAAAAAAGTCCATAATTGCGAAGTTTTTGAAAAAAATGTTGACTTTTAATTTACAAGATTTGCACCCAAACAACAGAGTATTGAAGAAGGAAACTAGTAGAAGCTTTCTCGCTTTAAACTCTTCATGGATGGCTTTTTCGAAATGAAAAACTTTTTTATTGGGAAACCATCGCTGATTCTTTAGAATTAATTTAGAATTAAAACTGTTTTGTAAAATAATTTTCTCAAGTATTCGCGTGTTTCCTTCACTAAATGTGTTCTTCACTCTTCTCTCTATCTTTGTTGATAAAGACCGGTTTCTGTAAGGTAACAGTGTGAATTACAAGTCAGATAAGATCTTTGAGTAACAGTTTTTAAACCCTGCAAGATTCTTTACATTATCAGTTTTCTTTCAGTCAATTTTTTGAGCACACACTAGTTGTTGTACAAAAAACACCGTTCAACACTACTTATGAACGAAAACCAAATTTAGCGAGAACATACGTTTAGACCTAAGATCTACTTTTTTTTCTTTAGAATCAGCTGCAGTTTCTACGATGTCTATTTTGCTACTCTTCGTTCTCTGCTGATCTATCAGAAGGCTCAAGAAAAAGGCAGTTTAATAATGTTTATTCTCTTTAATAATGCCACAGTTCTTTGGCAGAGTTTGAAAGACTTCACTTGAGCAGTTCACCAGCCCTCTTCGCTGATTCTGCTTCTTCGTTGCTGGCAAAGGAACCGCTCGTCAAGTTCCTCAAATAAACATCTCTACAATTTTTTCAAACACTTTTTGAAGTCTGTATTTTAAATGACGTATATGTTAAGATAATGTTACTCTTCAAAAATAATGAAATTTTATCCTGTTATTTTATTCCAAGTGCAGTAAAAATAGATCTAGAGGTCTGAAATCCCAGTTTCAGAAAAATCTGTGGTTTCAAACGAAACAGATCACCATTTCGTGCTGTTTTTTACTGTCATTGTTTCTTATATATAAGCGTTAGCGAGAAAACAGTATTTTCAACTTCACTTTCAAGGTAATAAGATGAAAATAACTTGTTAAACGTTTACATTTAGCAGATTTTACTTTCCCAAACGAATCATGATTCTTGTCCGATCCACCTCTCACACATATTTTTTCCCCTTCAAGGACAGCAGATTTTACAGTTCCCAAGTTTCAGAGAGAACTGTTTTAGCAAACATACTTCAATTGACTCAAAATGCTGATCGTGCCGTCCGAAAGATATCTGTTTAATTGACGTAACAAAAGAATGCAGTTTTGTAGATAATTTAATTTAATATTGGCCTGTTTTGTCAACCAAAATCAAATTCTAATTGATGTCTGAGCCTGTCAAATGTCGGGAACAAGCTAAAAAACCGGGTAATTTTTTAGGTTAGATAGTAATATTTAGAGCTTTTTCAGTTTGAAGGCTCCATTTTACTTTCAGCCAGTCAAACCAATGAATTCTAATTGTAATAAATGCGGCTGTGTTCCATAATAGCCGAAAATAGGACTACTAATTTAACAGAGAGCTCAGTATTCTGCCAAAGCACTAAATGACAAGTTTATTTGTTTGTTTACTTTGTTTACTAAAACGAAAAGCCTTGCCGCAAAAACACGTGCTAAACACTTTTTATTGAAGTGTAATATTTTTATCAATTTAATGAAAAGCCCAGAATTGAACAAGACAGAGTTGGCAACAATAACTTTTCGTACAAGAAGAGCAGACATCAATGAAATGAAACTGTGATCTTACGGTCTAAAAACCATAGCCTCAGGAGATCAAAAACGTCAAGAAATATCATTCATGAAACATTGCACAAGAACTGCCAGTTTCAGAAATGTACAGTTTAAATGTAAGAAATAGCCGTTAAAATGACTCTCTAAGGTTTAAATGAGGAAGTTCAACCACTTTTGCAAGAAATACTGGGCTTTCTGGAAAGGAAGTACGACGTTTTG